CTTTTCCAGCTATCTCTGGTTTAAGCAGCAGTATTTTTTCCCCCAAAGACAGTAAGTTAATACACTTTATGTGTTACTATATCAGGCTAAGAAAACATTAAGGATTGAAAATTTGGGAATTTAAGCCAGTCTCATATTTACTTAGTTGAGTGAATTACAAGTAGGTTAAGAGCGTATCAATTTCTGGTTTTGTTTTCCTTCTACCCTGTACCACTCCCTAGAAATACTCTAGAAATCTGTGGATTGTTATGCATATTTTTATATGCTCAGTTACTTAAATCTACTTTAATTGGTTTTGGACTGTTTCCACAAACTGGATTTTCCATGTTGCACTCCACACTGTGGGAAGTGGGGCTCGCTGTTGATTTTAGCTTACACATAAGCAAATTTCCTTTGGCCAAATGTTTTCATTTTCTTTGAGCAAACTTTAATATGCAAAATTTTGAAAACTGCCATCCTTCCTACCTTAATCTCACGGACATCTAATATTTATTAATGGAAAACAAGGAAGGAAAAAAACAATAGCCAGGGACACTTCCAATATTTTCTGGAAAATTGCTTACATACGATTAGGAATACTTAAGTGGCAGAGATAAAAATAATAACTGGGCAAGATATATCTGACTCAGGTTTGTACAGGCATCTTGATGGAGACAGATGATGTCTGCAGAGTTCTTGGTTCCCTTGGAAAAGTAGGTGGATTGCCAAGTAACGGTGGGAAATACTTACAGTGCACGTTTTCTGGGTGATTATTAGGCAGCATTTTTTTCTGGTTTTGATGTTAAGAATATGTCAGGTTCTTTATTTTCATGGGACGTCCATTTTACCTAACTTATCAGAACTGATACTGAGAGGAAACCTTGAGGAAGTTTTTGATCTCTTGGGATTTTGTTGTTAGTTGGAAGAGAAGCAATGTTGGTTTTTGGTATTTGTGTGTGTGTGTATCAGTGGCATTTAAGGAAGCAAGATGAAATAGGTAGTCCATACAGAAGTACCTCTCTCTTTTTTTTTTTTTTTTTTTAGCTTTTGAAGATCACTGCTCCAGGAAACATACAATTTAAATACAAGGTCATTTGGCTGCCGTCTGAGCAGAATAGATAGATAATGCTTTTCCTGGAGACTGAGTGCACACATTGATGTTACAGCTTCATGAAGTCTAGGAACTTAAGTCACAAGAACCCATGTCCAGGAAGCTCCTGGGAATCCATTCTAGTGTGGCCACAGTTGGGGTGTCTTCTGAACCTCGAAGCCATTCCTTGAATTCAGCTCCCTTTAATCAAACCATACTGCCCTGGATCTAGTAATATGAGACCAAACGTTTAGGGCCAGCTGGTTAACAAATACTTATTGAGCTCCCACTACATGCCTGGTGCCGGACTGAGCACCAGGCAGTTTCCTTACGGGATTTACATTCTAGCACAGAACAGGCTTAGAAGTGGGTGAAAATTCTTCCCGTTATTCATCTAAAATCAGTCGAATGTGTGTCAGGCACTCTGCTACACACTAAGGAGGCAACTGTGAAACATTCAGAGTCCCTTGTATGCGAGGTATGGCAGGTACTGTGGGAGCTCAGAACCAGGACCACTAGTTCATAGGGAACTACTGCTGGTGATTTACGTCCAGGGAGGAGAGAGCTCAGGGCAGTCCCAGTAAAAACTCCCAAAGCGTGAAAGAACTGAGGATTTCTCCTCATTATCCAACCCACCACTGTTTGGGGGATTTTTGCAGATGGGGCACGGGGGCCACAGTGATGCCAAGAGCAGGAGAGGGAGGAACAGGAGGTGGGAAGGGGTGTCGGAAGCAGATTCCAGTGTCCCTTTTCCCCTCCCTCTGGGTCTTCCCTGAAGGGCCCTCCCACTTCTGTCCAGCTCAGCCTGTTTTCCTGATCTTCTTTTAGGTCTGCCATGGGTGCCTGGTCAAAGATCAGAAAATCACTTCATTTTGATTCCACATTTGCTGTGAACTAAAGATCAGTATTTCAGCACATGTGCTTTTTCTCACAGTAACTCTGATAGGAAAGGGACATCATCATCATCATAGCTACTTTATGAAGGAGGACACTGGTGGCCTCTGCTTGAGTGACTTTTCTGGGTCCACAGTTAAATGTGGCAGTGCTGGGCTTCCCTGGTGGCGCAGTGGTTGAGAGTCCGCCTGTGGATGCAGGGGATGCGGGTTCATGCCCCGGTCCGGGAAGATCCCACATGCCGTGGAGCGGCTGGGCCCATGAGCCATGGCCGCTGAGCCTGCGCGTCCGGAGCCTGTGCTCCGCAACGGGAGAGGCCACAAGAGTGAGAGGCCCGCGTACCGCAAAAAAAAAAATGTGGCGGTGCCAAGCCTGGAGCCACATATCCTGGGACTTTGGGTCCCAGTCAACAGAATGTGGCAGCTTTAGGGTCAGTCAGAGCTCAAATATTGGTGCTCCCACTAGCTCACCAGAGGATAAAAGGCAGATTGCTTAACCTCTTTAACCTTTGCTTTCTCCCCTAATTAATGGGCTGAAAAATAGTATCTACCTCCTAAGGTGGTTGTGAGGGTTAAATGAGGTAATGCACATAAAGTGCTTAATGCATATAGTAAGCACTCAGTAAATATTATAATTCCACTATGAATAATAGGTACTAAATCAGATTCTGTGGTAACAGAATTGAATGAGACACAGCACCAGCCAGAGAGACAGACATCTACATAACTGACCACAAGGCCAAGGGATAGACTCTGAGTAAGCAGTTGGTTGGCATAGATGGTTCCATTTGGAGATGGGGACCAGGGGTCCAAAAGGCTCCACAGAGCAGATCGTAATGGCACTTTGACCCAGGAGGTAGAATTTCACTCGCCTTGAAAAGGTGAGCCCAGCTAATGAGACACAATTGTATTAGTTATCTATTGCTGTGTAACAAAGTACCCCCTCCCCACCCCCTGCATTAGCAGCTTAAAACAGCAAACATTTGTTATCTCACAGGAACCCAGGCACAGTTTAACAGGGCACCGCTGGTTCAAGGTCTCTCGTGGGGTTATAGTCAAGCTGTTGGCCAGGGCCGTGTTCATCTCCTGGCTGCATATGAGCTAGAGAACCTGCTGCCAAGCTCACTCAGGTGCCCATTGGCAGGCCTCCAAAGACCCACTGCCAAGTTCACTCACATGGTTCTGGCATGGCTTGGTTCCTCCTCATCTGCTTTGTTCATCCTGTAGAGCCAGAGTCAGCACTTTTTCTGTAGAGGGCCAGAGAGTCAATATTTTAGGCTTTGTGGGTCATACGACATCTGTAGCGACTACTCAACACTGCTGTGTAGCTCGAAAGCAGCCATAGACAACTCATAAATGAATGGGCATAGCTGTACTCCAGTAAAACTTTACTTAGCAAAAACAGGTGGCCTGACCCCTGCTCCAGATCTCTACAAGGACAGCAGCATGGTGTAGCAAAAATAATACTGGCAGCGGACTTCCCTGGTGGTCCAGTGGTTAAGAATCCGCTTTCCAATTCAAGGGATGCTGGTTCGATCCCTGATTAGGGATCTACAGGGGGAACAAACTAAGATCCCACGTGCCGCAGGACAACTAAGCCTGCACACCTCAACTACTGAGCCCATGTGCTCTGAAGCCCGCGTGCCACAACAAAAGAGCCCATGTGCCACAACTACTGAGCCCATGTGCTCTGGAGCCTGCAAGCCACAACTAGAGAGCCCGTGCACCACAACGAAAGACCCCTCATGCCGCAACGAAGATCCCACGTGCCACAACTAAGACCTGACACAGCCAAATAAATAAATAAATAAATATATTTTTAAAATAAATTTTAAAAAGTAATACTGGCAGTCACAGCCTCTCAGGGCTGCAGTTCCCAATCTGTAACACATGTGGGCTAGAGTAATATTTCCTAGGGCCTTCCCACCCCAAAATGCTGTGACTCTAACTTTAATTTTTTTTTTTTTTTTGCGGTACGCGGGTTTACTGCTGTGGCCTCTCCCGTCGCGGAGCACAGGCTCCGGATGCACAGGCCCAGCGGCCATGGCTCACGGGCCCAGCCGCTCCGCGGCATGTGGGATCCTCCTGGACCGGGGCACGAACCCGTGTCTCCTGCATTAGCAGGCGGACTCTCAACCACTGCGCCACCAGGGAAGCCCTCTAACTTTAATCTTTATTCACAGCAGTTTAATAGCCATTTATGTGTTCTCATTGTCTCTCTCTACTAAGACTAATAGCTTAGCCAGGGTGTCAAAACACTTCACAAATCTCACTGTAGAATGGGAGAAATTTAGCGAGGGACAGCTTAATTGATATGTTCAAGTCCCTCCTTTAATACATGTAGTCTCAGTCAGTCGTGGCGTGGCTGGCCAGCTTGGGGCAGAGAGTGATGGCCTCTTGGCAGCAGGGCCCTTGCCTGCCTACACAAGAAAAGAGAGGCCCAGGAGCTGGAGGACCAGTAGCATCCTAATAAAATCTGCTAGTGATTGATTGCTTACCTGTGCCAATACCATGTATGTAATCCACGGGATAACGGCTCTTAGGTTCTGAAGATGCATATATTTAAGGAATCACAAATAGTGGAGTCTCTACAACAGGTACATGAGAGTTGACTCCCTGCCCCTGAAAATTTCTCTTGAAGTAATTGCACAGAAACCTATCCCTAACTTTTCTTTTTTGCATTACGCTTACAGTTAATATACAACCTGTTTTTTTTAGAACAACCATAATGTCAGATCAAGGTCACTCAGAGGTTGAAAGAGGCCTGGATTACTTTGTTGTTGTTGTTTCCAAGGCTACTGATATATTAAAGAAGTAAAATAATGACAAAGCAGGATTATGAACATTGAAGGATATTTTAAATGCTTATCTGTACAGATTTGCAATATTGCACACATGCATAAAGGTGATAAAATTTTCCTATTCTCAAGGTAAAGTATTAGTTCATAGGGAACCGCTCGTGATTTACTATGGAAACGTGGGGCTGAAGTTCAAAGCTGTGTGATGAACATTGTTTTCTTTCAATCCTCTCCGTGTAGCTCTGGGCGTATATTTGGAGATACTCGTCAAGAGTCTACATTGAGGCCCTTCATGAATGGGAAGCCCAGGTTAGTTGACCTCCTGTGTCCCATATTCCCACAGTTCCTACCTGCCCCCATGACGATAGGCTTGATGACATGAATCCTGTCATATTGAAGACTTTATGGTGTGAATAAAAAAGCTTGAACTTTGAATCCTGGCTCCACCATTTACTAGTTGTGTAACCTTATATGAATTAGTTAAGCTTAATAAACCAGTCTCCATATTCATAAGATGGAGCTAGTAATGCTTATGTCACAGAGTTGCTGGGAAGAAAATGAAATAATGAGTGTCAAGTACCAAACACATACTGGATATTCAAGTGTCAGATACTATCACTACCACCACCACAACCAGCACCACCCCCCCCCACACACACACTCTCTCACTCACTCACACATCAGATCCAGAGCCCAAGTTTGGGTTTTGAACATCTGTTGAGTGTAACTACACTGCCTTCCTGGGCCCAGTGAAGAGTCCTATGCCCACAGCTTCCCTGAGCTCCCGTTCACAAGTGAACTGACAGCCCCACAGCTGCAGTGACTTGGCCCACAGGCTCTGCCTCCATTTCATCCCCTCACCTGCCCTTGGTAAATGAAGGTGTGAGAGACAGTATGCAGCTCTGAGACACACTTCTTAGGCCACTTATGTGAGAAAACTGAGAATAGGACTTTATAAGTAGAAAAGGTAATATCCAGAGGGCATTGGAGCACCTACATGTTTACAGGATGACTGTCAGCCGTTTCTCCTGGGGTCCCTGCTGTTAAGAGGGACGCACCTTAAGCCTCTGCCTGGGAAGAGCTTGTGCCACAAAGAGAAAAAAAGATTAACTTAATAGAAGTTAAAAATTTGCGTCTGATTCCCTGGCATCTATTGTTCAGGGTCTTTAAGTGTTTCGGAAGAGAGGATTTCTGCCTGTATAGGTAATTGCTGGGCAGGTTTTCCTTGGTCTTTTACCCATATAGAGCTCTGAATTTGAAGAGCGGTGATGCCTTGCAGATCCAGCATTTCCTGGTTTATGATGGAGAAACAGCCTCCTGGCTGTCTCTAATGACTAGGTCCTATAGATCATCTTTACTTTGTATCAGAAGAAAATTAGGAAATGGAAAGGCAAGAAAATCAAAATCATGTCACACCTTACAGTTATGTAAAGTTTATAGTCAGCACCATAGACATTGAACTTGGAAACTGCAAGGAGGGTAACTTTACTGAAAAAGGAAAGTTCCAAAAATGTTAAGCGATAGAGAAAAATGGTTAATTAGCTGGCATAATATATCTTCCATTATTAATTATATAATAATTGGAATAATTTGCAGCCATATAAAAATATCATTGTGGGGACTTCCCTGGCGACCCAGTGGTTGAGACTTTGCCTTCCAATGTAGGGGGTGCAGGTTCAATCCCTGGTCAGGGAGTTAAGATCCCACATGCCTTGTGGCCAAAAAACCAAAAACACATAAAACAGAAGTGATACTGTAACAAATTCAATAAAGACTTTTAAAATGGTCCACATCAAAAAAATCTTTAAAAAAAATTTTAAAAATAAAACAATCATTATGAACATTATGGATTGTCATGGGAAAGGCTTGAAACATAATGTTAAAGGGGAAAATAGCAGGATGTGAAGTTGTTTATATATTGTGTAAAACAGGTATGCAGTTCTTGGATTGGAAGAGTCAACACTGTGAAAATGACTATACTACCCAAAGCAATCTACAGATTCAATGCAACCCCTATCAAACTACCACTGACATTTTTCACAGAACTAGAACAAAAATTTCACAATTTATATGGAAACACAAAAGACCCCAAATAGCCAAAGCAATCTTGAGAAAGAAAAACAGAACTGGAGGAATCAGGCTCCCTAACTTCAGACTATACTACAAAGCTACAGTAATCAAGACAGTATGGTACTGGCACAAAAACAGAAATATAGATCAATGGAACAGGATAGAAAGCCCAGAGATAAACCCATGCACATATGGTCACCTTATCTTCGATAAAGGAGGCAAGAATATACAGTGGAGAAAAGACAGCCTCTTCAATAAGTGGTGCTGAGAAAACTGGACAGCTACATGTAAAAGAATGAAATTAGAACACTCCCTAACACCATACACAAAAATAAACTCAAAATGGATTAAAGACCTAAAGGAAAGTCCAGACACTGTAAAACTCTTAGAGGAAAACACAGGCAGAACACTCTATGACATAAATCACAGCAAGATCCTTTTTGACCCACCTCCCAGAGAAATGGAAATAAAAACAAAAATAAAAAAATGGGACCTCATGAAACTTAAAAGCTTTTGCACAGCAAAGGAAACCATAAACAAGACCAAAAGACAACCCTCAGAATGGGAGAAAATATTTGCAAATGAAGCAACTGACAAAGGATTAATATCCAAAATTTACAAGCAGCTTATGCAGATCAATATCAAAAAAACAAACAACCCAATCCAAAAATGGGCAGAAGACCTAAATAGACATTTCTCCAAAGAAGACATACAGATTGCCAACAAACACATGAAAGAATGCTCAACATCATTAATCATTAGAGAAATGCAAATCAAAACTACAGTGAGATATCATCTCACACCAGTCAGAATGGCCATCATCAAAAAATCTAGAAACAATAAATGCTGGAGAGGGTGTGGAGAAAAGGGAACCCTCTTCCACTGTTGGTGGGAATGTAAATTGATACAGCCACTATGGAGAACAGTATGGAGGTTCCTTAAAAAACTAAAAATAGAACTACCATACGACCCAGCAATCCCACTACTGGGCATATACCCAGAGAAAACAATAATTCAAAAAGAGTCATGTACCAAAATGTTCATTGTAGCTCTATTTACAGTAGCCAGGACATGGAAGCAACCTAAGTGTCCATCAACAGGTGAATGGATAAAGAAGATGTGGCACATATATACAATGGAATATTACTCAGCCATAAAAAGAAACGAAATTGAGTTATTTGTAGTGAGGTGGATGGACCTAGAGTCTGTCATACAGAGTGAAGTGAGTCAGAAAGAGAAAAACAAATACCGTATGCTAACATATATATATGGAATCTTAAAAAAAAAGGTCATGAAGAACCTAGGGGCAAGACGGGAATAAAGACACAGACCTACTAGAGAATGGACTTGAGGACACGGGGAGGGGGAAGGGTAAGCTGGGACAAAGTGAGAGAGTGTCATGGACTTATGTCTACTACCAAATGTAAAATAGATAGCTAGTGGGAAGCAGCTGCATAGTACAGGGAGATCAGGTTGGTGCTTTGTGACCACCTAGAGGGGTGGGATAGGGAGGGTGGGAGGGAGGGAGACACAAGAGGGAAGAGATATGGGGACATATGTATATGTATAACCAATTCACTTTGTTATAAAGCAGAAACTAACACACCATTGTAAAGCAATTGTACTCCAATAAAGATGTTAAAAAAAACAGGTATGCAGATGGACATAAACTAAAACAAATCCTGGGGAAAATACTGAGCATCTAACACAGGTTAGATTGCTATGATTACAGCTGGCTTTTTTCTTCCCTTTTCCCAAACTTTGTATGATTTGTGCATGTTTGTGTATAATCACATCTATTTTATATATATGTATTTTACATATAAATATGTACATATACAAACATCTTTTTTTAATGAGAAAAGTTCTTTAAGCATTTGGAAAAGATTGGAGATATTTATGAGCAGAGCAGCTACAAAAGAAAAAAAAAGTTTTTATACTTAAAAAAAGTACTTAGACTTTGTACCAAGGACTAAACTTTAAAATCCATCAGTAGATGAGTGAATTTTACACTTTATACTGCAGATGACCGTGCTTTAGTGAAGTAACTAGGGTCGTTCTTTTTTTCCGTGGAGATTCTAGATATCAATCACGGTTTTGTTTTCCCTTGGTTTAAATGGCATTCCTCTTTGATCATTACTTCGCACTGGGAAAAGATATTTCCTTGTGCAAAGTAGTGGTTAGCTTCTTATAACCTCAGACAACAAAGGGCCCCTGTGTGAGGATGCAGGAATTCGTCTTGGAATACAGGGAAGGCCCCCAGCTGAATCGTATCCAAGGAAGATGCTGCAAAGCTTGCAAAGCTAGTTCGGAGAAAGGAGCCCAGCTGGAGATCTTTTCTTTCTATTCACATATTGGCCCTGCTTGAGAGGTGGGGGTGGGGGGAAGCCCATAAAAGGAAACCCGAAAACAAGCCTGAATTGCATTTACAAATTACAAGGAAAAGTTAATTCTGGCAACCAGCGTTGGTGCCAACTCAGGCTTATCATGTTTAGAATCTAACTCCACTTGGGGAGAAACTTTGTTTTCCTTCTCATGGAAGTTAAAGAAGGCAACAGAGGTGGACTGTATGGTGTAAGTTCTGAATGCAAACCTGTCTGTGGGTAAGTCACAGGCTGGCTCAGTTCCCCTTGGCCACCTGTACTCTCGGCCCACCGTGAGTCCCACGTGTTGCTGCCGTTTATTATTGTGAACTGCGAATCTCATCAAGCCGGGCCCGGAGCATGGCATTCGCAGCCCTCCTCTACCTAACTCCTGTGGGTTTACGTGTGACCATGCTTCCTTTTTCACCACCCACAAGCCTCTTCCCCTCCAGCCACCTTCTCATGCCCTTCAGCTTCCCCTCGACCTTGGGAGGGTTTATAGAATGACACGTGGTACCTGCGGGTGGACGCTGGCATGTCCTGGGCTTTGGGTAAATGCCAGTACCCTTCCCCCTTCTTCCTCTTGCCCTTCTTTGAACTTAAATTCCTCTTCCTCTCATAAGTACTAAAGTTCCTGGTCAATGATAGATCCTTCCGCAAAAGCCAGAAATCAGGGCAGCGATGAGAAGAAATGAGAGGTGCGGAGAGCCAGCCCTCGTCTTCATTGAGGGCCCCTCTTCACCTGTAGATTAAGAATGACGAGCAGAATAGCAGCTGCCGTTTTTGTGCTTCTGCCACCGGCTTATCCTGATTCCTGCGTTATCTATAAACCTGGCATCTGAAAAAACAGAGGCCCAGAGAGGTTGAGAGATTTGCT